TTATTGATTGTACTTTTTAGAAGAGTTTGAGATTTAGAGGAAAAATGAGAAGCTTTTTGAGAGTTCCCATATACCTCACACTCAGTTTTCTCTATTATTAACATCTTACATTAGTATGGCACATTTGTGACAATGAATGAACCAATATTGATATATTATTAAGTAGAATCCATACTTTATTCAGATTTCCTTTTTCTGTTGCAGGATCCCATCCAGGAACGCACAATTACGTTTAGTTGTCATGTCTCCTTAAGCTCTCTTGGCTGTGACAGTTTCTCAGACTGTTCTTGTTTTTGATGAACTTGAGAGTTTTGAGGAGTACTTTGTGGTGTCTAAATGTGGTATCTGTCCGATCATGTGGGGGCCCCCAAATGTGGGGTGACGATTGGGTGGAAGCTGGTGGCATGAGCAGTAAAAGGATGCACCTGAGGCAGAACAAAGGAGACGGAAGTTTATTGAATACACTGCAAGGGAGCTGTGGGCAGGACAGCAGAGGAGAGACAGTCTGCAACAAGGCAGTGGGAGGGAGCTGTTTTTAAAGGTGGAAGATGAGGAGGTAGGGCAATGCATGGAATTCTCCCTTTTCTGGTAATTGTGCCTGGTTGTAAGTAGCCCATTGGTCAGTTACGGCCTATGGATGTCTTGAGGTGAGTCACCTGATGGTCCTGTCTGTTTTCAGCAAAGGGTGTTGCTGAAAGGCCCTTTCCACATTCCATTGCTCAAGCCTGTTTGCCTAAAAGCTGCCTCTACATACTTTTGTATGATATTTTGTAGGATGTCCCTCAATTGGGATTTGTCTGATGTTTTTCTCATGATTAGATTGGGATTATGGGTTTGGGGAGGTAGGCCATAGGTAAAATGCCATTCTCATCATATCATATCAAGAGTACACACCATCAACATCGTTTGTCACTACTGACATTGGCCTTGATCACCTGGCTGAGGTAGTGTTTGTCAAGTTTCTCTGCTGTAGAGTTACTCTCCCCTCACCCCCCTCCCACTTTTCCATTCTGTGTATGGTATCTTTTGAAAATAAATTCTTTTTTAAGTTTTTTTTAAATTATGTTATGTTAATCACCATACATTACATCATTAGTTTTTGCTGTAGTGTTCCATGATTCATTGTTTGCATATAACACCCAGTGCTCCAT